CACCTTAGCGTCTCCAGAGGCAAAGACATAAAATGGGCTTTTATCTGCTAGAAGCGGTCCAGACACTAGTGTCCATTCTGCTTCTGCACATTTCTCCTGACCACTTTGGGAAATGCTGGACTACATGATTTCAAAGTTGTTATCTGATTTTCACATTCTATGATGGTAAAGCTTAGATCGTCTAACCAGGAAGAGAGTGATTCAGTGATTAAGCGGGTGATTCAGGTGTCTCAGGGTGATCCATAGTGAAAAATAATGTTCTTCTTGTTATTTCAGAGCATGTTAGGATGGAAAACATCCTGGCGGCTCAAGATCAAGGTGCAGAAGAGTGTGATCTACTGCAATTTCATCAGGCTCTGAGTAGCTATCTAGAGCCCTGGAACAACAGGCTGACAATAATATTCTTCAGGGTTTATTGTTTCTTCTGATTACCAGGAAGGTCCACAGGTCAGAGCTGTGACAATAGATACTGCAGAGCTATAGTTTTCCAGAAGGGGGGGGGCATCAGCCTGCTCCGTGGAACTCTTTTGCTCACATCAGTGGGGCAGTAAAACAAAGGAGGTGAGGCAGTGTTAGAATATCCTGTTTAAAAGAATTTTCTGATAGAACCTGGATACTCTGTTGTGAAATTTCCTTCTTGAAAGGCCTGCAATAACAGGTCCTGTTACCAACATTCTTGGGCAAGTAAATTCTGCTGAAGGAAGGGGAGAGGTGAAATGAAGGGGAGAGGGACTAGTGCCCGTGTTTACAGAGCGGGTCCTATGTACAAGGCGCTCTATGGGCCAACTCGTAGTCATCTTAGTTCTGTGAGCTTCCATCGCTTCTGTCGTACAAATAAAGACATTGATTCTCAGAGAGGAGAAAAGTTTTGCCCCCAAATGACACAGACAACAGCAGGGTCAGGATTTGAACTCAGGGCTATGTGAGTCTAAAGCCATGAAGGTGTAAAAGTCCATTCCAGCCTTAACATGTATAATTCTTTTCCTGAAAGGCCTCCCAAGAAAGGAGCAAAGTCAGGGCGTTTGTGATGATGCTAAAATATGTGGGTACCTGCTGGGCAGATGGTGATGGTGTCTCCTCACCTTAGGTTTTAGTCACATAAAGCACTTTGCCTGTGGCCCCAACCTGCCTCCCCAGACTCAGGTCTCCACACCCTTCACGCACCACCTTCTCTACTGACGCCTCCCCGTTCAATGCTCAATCCACGCCCCTCTGTGGTTCTGATGCTTTGTACAAACTGTCCTTTGCCTTGACGTCCTTCTTCCGTTTTCTCTCCATAAAAGCTCCTCTCACACTTGAAGACCCGTATTAATTATGCCTCCCCGGATCACTCAGGAAAGTTATTCATGATCGCCCCCGGGCTCACGTGACACTTTGTTTCTAGAGATTTTCAAATTATGCTGTAATGAATTTACTACTTGCTTCTTCTTTAGTGGTGTGTAAGTTTTTTATGACTGGATTTATGTCTTATTATTGATCACTGAATACTTAATGTCTATTGCTGTGCCTGGAATATGGTATGTGATCAATAAATGCCTGCTGAATAAGGGAAAGAGTGAATGAGTGGATGGATGTAGCATTTCTATAAGGAGGAGGTGGGATTGCCAATGTGTGGTGCTCAGAGAATACAGCATCTCTACCCTCAGCATCTCTATTCTCTGACTTTCTTGCTAATTTAGCATCTTGCATTTCATGTCAGCTTTTTGATTCTCTTCTCAATCATCTTCTCTGCTTTTTAACTTACTCATAAATTTATACCATAACTCCTCTTGCAGTTGATTATATCCAGAGTAGTAACACGAAAAAGATGTGATTATTACTTTGTTTCCACAATTACCTTGGAAATTCTATTTTTTTTTTTTTGCTATTATTTGGTGGGAAATGGAATGACATACACTAGTTTTAAAGCAGTATGATCTCTAGTGGAAGAGACAAGTATGTCAAGTCAGAAGTCCTGAGACAAAATCCTTTTTTTACTCCTTAAAGGCTGTGTACAGATCGTGCCCTACATGAAGGCATTCGGCCAAGAGGGCAAGTGTGGCCTGACTTCCAGCAGACACTCCATTTACCAAACCTTTTGCTTTTGGAGCTGCAACCATCCAAAGAGTGTGCCTTTCCTAATTTACCCTAAGGCACAGTATATGGTAGCCGAGGAGTAGGCTGTTTCATGTGGGCAAATTGCTTAATTTCTCCAAGTTTTCGCTTTTTTCCTAAAGGTAGCTAATACTACATAGACTGGCCCTTGGGCTCAGTAATTCCTTCCTTCATTTATTCAGTCATTCTAAAACCTGTGAAGGACCTAGCCTAGAGGCTAAGAGGTTAGGCTTTGGACTCAGACATCAATAAATGACTATGACTGAATATTACTATTACTTCATTTATCTAAGTGGTAGGTTGAAATTTCCCAAAAAAAGTTACTGAGAAACAAACAAAAATTCAGAAAACAACCATAGAGAATATGCGTATGTAGTCACAAAACAGGAAGGCCTCCAAATAGTTGAAACGGACTCTGCCATATTTCCTCCAAGCTTTTCTTATCTTTTCCCTGTCACGTTGGACTCGCATGAGAAAGAAGTCGATTATCTCAATGTCTCTGCTAGAGTGTGGTGTCCAGAGATAAGGCATGTGCTGGTCATTCCACAGGATAATAAACCTGATTTCTTTGTTCTGAACATGCTGCCTCTGTGAACACATCACATGATTGCATTTATTTTTTCTGTGGAGCTCAGAACATACTGTTGTTTTATGCAAAACTTGTGGCCAACTATTTGTTCATATGTGTTTTCTATCACCAAAATGCTTTGTGGTCCTTATTTTAATAATTGAATATTAGTCATATTATAATCATATTACAATCTATATAATCAATTCTTTTTGGACATACAGGTTGTTTCTGGCCTTTCTTGTGTGAGCTCTTACAAATGAAAAGATCTTGTCCTCAACTTTAATTATTAGGATGGTGACATTAGTTTTAAATTATGTAGTTTGAATACAACCGGATAACTCATATGTGTAATAACAGGAGTGTATGTGCCAATTTTGTTTTATAGATTTATTTTTCTTAGGGTAAATTTCCTGGGAGGAAATTGAAATCCTTCTCAGAAGAATGAAGTAATAATAAAATACAGGAACTGCCATTTTCTGAGTATTTAATCTGCGCCAAGCACCATAGTGAGCACTTCGTTTTATCGTTGCTGACTTTCACAGCAGTACTAAGATGAAAGTATTATTATGCCTATTTTCTAAATAAGGAAGCTGAGACTTCAAGAGCTTAAGCAACCTCCTCAAGATGTTGCTGGTAAATGTGGAGCCCAGATGCAAAGCAGACCTGTTTCATTCCCATTCGGCTGGGCCCCTAATGTGAGTTTTAAAAGAACCGACTGCATGAATGAATGAAGGACCTTATGTGATGGATTACTTAGGTATCATTATCCACCTTTAAGGGGAGGCTGGAGGCTGGAGGCCGGAAAAGAGCTACTATGTAAATAAGAAAAAGTGCCCCCTTGTGGGCAGGTGCAGCCTTGGGTACAGGGCTGACACACAGAGACTGTACTTTGGGACACACTTGCCACCGAGGGGCCCAACCTGCAAATGCCTCGAAAGTTACACAGTGAGCATTTGGCCTCAGGTCCTCTGACTTTATGTTCTGGCCTCCTTCACTGGACAGCAGGATGCTTCTCCCTCATATTACCCCTCTTTTCCCTATCAGATGACCTCAAACATAACTGGGATTTCTAAGCTGATGGAGAACAAACAGAGAGTAATAATTATATTTCTGAGGACATGGATGCTGGTGATATGAATAATAATGGTTGCAATTGAATGAATTTTTACCAAGAGTCTGGCATTATGCCAAACACCCTATACACATTGTTCCATTTACCGTAAACCACAGATGGGTCGTGTCATTCTCATTCTGCAGATGCAGAAGCTGAGGCTCAGAGCATTTCAATGCTCTTTCCAAGATTCACATCACTGATTCCAAGGCTTAGGCTCTGGCACTCTGAGTAGCCATGGAGTATCGTGGATGCTCCTGGCACCTCCCATTCTTCTTAAGCCATCTTCCCTTAGAGCATCTTTTCTCTAAACATTTTTGGATTTATTTTCCTAAAGTCTAATGTATATAGCTGACCAAGCTTAGGATTTTTTTCCTTGACATGTATGAATCCTAAGGTGGCATGAATATTTATTCCCAAGATCCTGATGGTTTCTATTATATTCATCAATTCCCCCTTGGTAGCTGTAGTTTGATAGGACATCAGGGTCTTTTTCTGACTTCTGTGATAAAAATGACCAGTAAGTTACAGACTTATCATCTGGGCTGCTCTGAACTGAGTGAAGCTATCAGTTATTAAGCTGGTGCAAAAGTAATTGCGGTTTTAGCATTGTTGAAATTTGCCCTTTGATACTGGAGTACATACTTAAATAAATGTGGTTATGTTAGACATCATTTTAATTTGCATTTATTGCTTTACTTTTTTTTTGAATTCAGGTGGTTATCAAAAATTCATCCATCATGACCAAGTGGGCTTTATCCCAGAGATTCAGGGTTGGTTCAACATATGCAAATCTATAAATGTAATTCACCACATAAACAGAAGCAAAACAAAGACCATAATCCTCTCAATAGATGGAGAAAAAGTATTTGACAAAATTCAACACCTTTTTATGATAAGAACATGTAACAAATAGGCATAGATGAGATTTACCTAAAAATGGTACAAGCCATATACAACAAATCTACAGCCAACATCATACTGAATGGGGAAAAATTGAAACTATTCCCACTTA